ATTTATTGATCACGAGCACATACTCGCGCGTGTGCACACTCAATTCAGGCGATCGCGCTTTCTTAAGAGGCAATAATCCTCTCAGGCGCAGAAAAAAAGTACATTGGCCCACATTAAACGTTACTGGGGATCATTATTAAGCTTGACCTGATCAACCAGGCTGTGACTCATACGTCAGGCTGCGAGCAGCCGCGTCTAACAGCCTGGTTGATGAGTCCAGCAACCAGGAGGCTTGGTCGACGACCGGGCCGCGGGGACACTAAGCCCCGGAAGCACCTCAAGGTAAGGTTGTTGACACAATCCTGGTGCTTGTGACGGCTGTCCTCAGCAAGACGGATACTTGCAAGCAGTTAAGGCGTACGGTAATTGGTGTGTGTGTCCTTGGAGCAAGAGAGGTTCCGTAATGCCGTTACACTGAGGTCATCGCCGGAAACTGTGGGTTGATCTGGCAGTGTGTTTTACCCAGGAATTCTCATTCATGTGCATTGGTGTCGGTGATCCCAGGCGGGTACTTCTCATTCTGGGAAGCGCGCGCGTGTTTGCTGTTGCACGGATGAGTAGATTTGGCGGATGACGGTGAAGAGCAGTAGCAGCCCCTTGCGACACAGGCGGAAGGTTGGTTAGGACAGATACTCGTACCCTGTGTGTTGGGAGGTCAACAAGAGCAATGGGCTGAAAGAAGTAGTTGTGGGAGCCACCTCCATCCACAACTTTCAAGGCCCGATTTGACTAAGAATTTGTTGTTGTTATAGATTCAGCTACTCGGAACAAGTTCCAAGGAGCACGGGCTATGGTGAGCCCGTAACTTACCTGGCACAGGAGCGGGACAAGTAGCACGGGCTATGGTGAGCCCGTAACTTACCTGGCACTGAAGCGGGCAAGTAGCACGGGCTATGGTGAGCCTGTAACTTACCTGGCACTGGAGCGGGACAAGTAGCACGGGCTATGGTGAGCCTGTAACTTACCTGGCACTGGAGCGGGCAAGTAGCACGGGCTATGGTGAGCCCGTAACTTACCTGGCACTGGAGCGGGCAAGTAGCACGGGCTATGGTGAGCCCGTAACTTACCTGGCACAGGAGCGGGACAAGTAGCACGGGCTATGGTGAGCCCGTAACTTACCTGGCACAGGAGCGGGCAAGTAGCACGGGCTATGGTGAGCCCGTAACTTACCTGGCACAGGAGCGGGACAAGTAGCACGGGCTATGGTGAGCCCGTAACTTACCTGGCACAGGAGCGGGCAAGTAGCACGGGCTATGGTGAGCCCGTAACTTACCTGGCACAGGAGCGGGGCAAGTAGCACGGGCTATGGTGAGCCCGTAACTTACCCGGCACAGGAGCGGGGCAAGTAGCACAGGCTATGGTGAGCCCGTAACTTACCTGGCACAGGAGCGGGACAAGTAGCACGGGCTATGGTGAGCCCGTAACTTACCTGGCACAGGAGCGGGACAAGTAGCACGGGCTATGGTGAGCCCGTAACTTACCTGGCACTGGAGCGGGCAAGTAGCACGGGCTATGGTGAGCCTGTAACTTACCTGGCACTGGAGCGGGACAAGTAGCACGGGCTATGGTGAGCCCGTAACTTACCTGGCACAGGAGCGGGACAAGTAGCACAGGCTATGGTGAGCCCGTAACTTACCTGGCACTGGAGCGGGCAAGTAGCACGGGCTATGGTGAGCCTGTAACTTACCTGGCACTGGAGCGGGACAAGTAGCACGGGCTATGGTGAGCCTGTAACTTACCTGGCACTGGAGCGGGACAAGTAGCACGGGCTATTGTATGCCCGTAGTGGACTTAACTGGCACAGGAGCGGTGCTGTGACTAAGAATTTGAAAGTCAGAGTAGTTAAGTTGAAACGCCAGCGATACAAGGCTAGTAGGCGGGGGCATAAAAGGTTAGGCCTCTCTTTGCCGTAGTCAGTGATAGGTAAGCACACTGTACCGGAAGAGTAGCTACTGTAATATGAGGGTTAGACCTGTCCTCGCCCTCCTCATGTCTTGATGGCCCTGTCTAGAAGGGTTGGAGGGGGGGATGGGGGGGTTCCGACCTTCATGACGTCACCGCCCCACACCGCCGGGGGCACCTTGCACGACAGGATCCAAACATGGCTGCTGTCAGTTCTCGTCTGCTTTAGATCCGTAATTGTGGCCATTACTGACGTGGCTTGTTCATGGCCCACTCTCGCGGACGTATCATAACCAGACCACTGTTTATGTGGTCACCTTGCCACCAGGATCATTTCTCACCACGAGGTGACAAGATACGATACACAACACTATGATACCTGGTTGATACCTGCTTGATGGGGTTCTGGGAGTTGTTCTACTGCCCAAGCCCGGCCCGAGGCCAGGCTTGACTTGTGAGAGTTTGGTCCACCAAGCTGTTGCTTGGAGCGGCCCGCAGGCCCACATACCCACCACAGCCCGGTTGGTCCGGCACTCCTTGGAGGAATAAACGAGGCCTATTGACTCGAACGAAACAGCAATCATACATGTCTAACCTGCGCTTGAAACAATCCAGAGAATCCCCCTTAGCTGTTATGGTACCCCTGTAATTGCTTACGTAAATCAGCCACCCTATCTTCAACCCAATATTTAGCCAGGTACCTCGTATCCGGCCATCTTGGGACTGGTGGAGACAGCTGGCGTGCCCGTGACCAATATTCGCTCTTGGCCTAATTGTCATGAGTTTAGTTGCCGTGGCTTGCCTGAAGGAGGCTAATTAGGAGAGAGTGGTGACTTTCTGGGGTGACCCTGTTTGTGGGGGAGGGTGGGGACGGCAGGGGGTTGGTGGAACGGGGGAGGGGAAGGGAAGGTGGAACAGAGACTGCAGGGGGGGGGGGGGGGGGGGGAGGCACAAGAGCTAATTGTTCTATTTTGTTCATGAACGACATAAGTGTACACGATCACTTATGCCCTTCTCCCCCTAGACCAAATAATAGCAATAATAATAATGTTTATTTAGGGAAACGTACAAACATGCCAAATGAGTTTGAAGAAGGCTGTTGGACTTGTAGATAGAGCAAGTATATACACTATGCCTTAAGCCTCTAATACGCACAGCGTTACGGACATTATGATGATGACTCGGGCAGCTTGTCACGCACCGCGCGGTACTGTAACCCCGTTGAGACGGTAACCCAGTCTCGCATGATGCTTTGGGACCCCGTCATCAGGGCGGGAGTGGATAGAATAACTATGCCTCCAGGTGCCTCATGCCTCCAGGTGCCTCATACCTCCAGGTACCTCATACCTCCAGGTACCTCATACCTCCAGGTGCCTCATACCTCCAGGTGCCTCATACCTCCAGGTACCTCATACCTCCAGGTACCTCATGCCGCCAGGTGTGGAAGGGGGGGTGTATAATGACTTAAGACAGTCAATAACGTGATGGTGGAGAGAGAGTGACCCAGTTCCTGGTCACAGAGTTTACACAGGGGAGGGGAGTGCTCAGGATTGGCAGGTAGCTTGCTTGCCTTGCAGCCACCTGCCACAGGTGGTGTTTGGCCATCTTGGTAATTGCTGCGTCACTCTGGTAGATGGGTGCTGCTGCCCGTCTGTATGGGAGGGGGGGGGGGGCATCACATCTGAACGGATTGCAGTGTTATTTTATGCCGGTACTTTAATTCACAGTTTATTTATGTGGACACCTTGAGTGTGTGATCATCTATCAGACCTCAGTATTTGGGGGCAATGTAGTTTTAATAATAAAGATGTAGGTTTAGTTCAGTTACATCTACGTTAGAAGCTGAGAAAGAGAGAAAATGAGAGAGGGAGAGGGGAGAGAGAGAGACAGAGAGAGAGAGTGAGAGTGGGTGAGAGAGAGAGAGAGAGAGAGTGGGTGAGAGAGAGAGAGAGAGATGGTGAGAGAGAGAGAGAGAGTGGGTGAGAGAGAGAGTGGGTGTGTGAGAGAGAGAGAGAGAGTGTGTGTGTGTGTGTATATTCACCTAGTTGTGCTTGTAGGGATTAATCTCTGGCTCTTTGGTCCCGCCTCTCAACTGTCAATCAACAGGTGTACAGGTTGCTGAGCCTACTGGGCTCTTATCATATCTACATTTGAAACTGTGTACGAAGTCAGCCTCCACTACATCACAATCTAATGCATTCCATCTGTTAACTACTCTGACACTGAAAAAAAATATTTCTAGTGTGTCTGTGGCTCATCTGGATATTACGTTTCCACCTGTGTGCCCTTGTTCGTGTTCCACCCGTGCTAAAGAGCTTGTCTTGTCCACCCCTGAGAATCTTGTAGGTGGTTATCATGTTTCCCCCTTACCCCTCTCCAGGGACGTGAGATTCAGCTCCCTTAGCTTTCCTCGTAGCTCATACGTCTCAGTTCCGGGACTAGTCTGGTGGCATACCTCTGACTCTTCTCTAACTTTGTCTTGTGTTTAACTAGGTATGGACTCCAGGCTGGAGCTACATACTCCAGCCTGTGAGTGAGTGATTGAGAAACCTTATACTGGGTGTGCCAGAGGGAGAGGATGAAGGTGGTACTGTAGCGGTGATGATACAGGCTGGAGCTACATACTCTAGCCTGTGAGTGAGTGAGAGAGAAACCTTATACTGGGTGTGCCAGAGGGAGAGGATGAAGGTGGTACTGTAGCGGTGATGATACAGGCTGGAGCTACATACTCTAGCCTGTGAGTGAGTGAGAGAGAAACCTTATACTGGGTGTGCCAGAGGGAGAGGATGAAGGTGGTACTGTAGCGGTGATGATACAGGTGGAGCTACATACTCTAGCCTGTGATGAGTGAGAGAGAAACCTTATAGGCCAGAGGGAGAGGATGAAGGTGGTACTGTAGCGGTGATGATAGGCTGGAGCTACATACTCTAGCCTGTGAGTGAGTGAGAGAGAAACCTTATACTGGGTGTGCCAGAGGGAGAGGATGAAGGTGGTACTGTAGCGGTGATGATACAGGGGATGTGTTGTATCTTGTGTTGTAGGGCGAGCGTGTCTCTGGGTCTACTCTCGTCCCGGTAAAGGTAAATAAATATCGCATAAAATAACATTATTTTATTAATATATTTCATATATATGTAATATATAAAGTCAATTACCTATGCTTAAAATACTACTGTACAAAGATGAACGGCAAGTGATTTGGAGCAGAAGTTTGTGTGTGTGTGTGTGTGTGTGTGTGCGTGCGTGCATGTGGGTGGGGGGGCTAACAAGTGTTGAGTCACAGCGGTGGAATAATACGGTGATGTGGTTGAGGCGGGGGGGAGGGGTGGTGGGGGGGGTCTCAGAGCCTGGGCCTGCCGCCCTCCCTCCGACGGTTCCTGCCGGGGTAGTGGGCGGGGAAGTTGTTGGTCTCTGGCAGCAGCTCGGCGTCGGGGTTGATGGCGGGCCTCGGGTGCCTGTAGTTGACGTCGGTGTCCCCGTGCAGGGAGTGTGGCAGTGTGAGGGCGCCGGGGTGCTGCGGCGACACCTGGTAGGCCCCGAGGGCGCCGGGGTGCGCGACGGGCAGCAGGAAGGGCGGGTAGGGCCGCGGGTACACGTAAGACACGGCGAGACCCGGGCGCCTGACCTGAGGGCTGGTGCCGTCGATGGTGTTGGTGAGGGTTCCGTCAGCAGCCGCGCCCTCGGGCAGCACGTACGGCACCAGGACGTAGTTGCTGGCGGAGGCTCCTCCGACGAAGAGGGCGAAGGGGTGGTGGGAGCGGGACGGCGTGTAAGGCACGATGGCGGGAACGTTGCCGTTGTACTCCTGGTGGGGGGAGGGGCGCGCCGCCACCACCACCTGGGACACCCTGCTGGGGGAGCCCTCCCTGTAGTCGTCCTCGTCGTCCAGCGGCTGTCGCGGCTCTTCGAAGGCGTCGGAGTTGAAGCCTCCGCCCTTGATGATGAGGAGGTCGTCGTCGGCGTAGAAGACTTCGTCAGGGTGAAGGCCGCCCAGCTGGTGCTTCTGCGGGCGGGGGAGTGGTGGCGGGGCGCCCCGCTCACTCTGGAGGCGGTCCAGGGTGGTGTACTTGTCGCCGGCGTCCAGCACTGCCCCGCTGGCACCGTCGAAAGCGGCGTCGACGGGCGCCCTGCTCTTGGTGGTGCCATCGGCGCGCGTGCGGGCGGGCTCCAGGGAGTAAGGCTCGTAGGGAGCCATGAAGTACGGGTTGGCGGAGACTCTAGGGAAGTGCTGGAGGTGGGTCACCGCCGCCCGCGCCTCGGGGCGGAACTCCGGGCGGAAGGTGGTGACGGGGGGCGGGGCGGTGGTGCTGGAGGTGGGCTCCACGTACCCGGGGATGCTGGAGGCCTTGGTGTTGATGGTGTCCGTGTTCTCCTGCCCCTGCGCCACACCCACCACCACCACACACAACACCCACACTCGCCACAACATCGTCTGAAAAGAGGAACACAGTGTTAGATGCTTGTGTTGCTGGGGTGTGGCGGCAACACCGAGCCACACCCAACTGTCCCTACACACAATATGTTAAACACGGAGATTTGAAAAAATTGAACAGACTGAAGCAGTCACACCAGATTCGAACGAATTGCAACTGAATGTCATATAGGAGATAAAGAAAAATCCAAAATATTTCTCCATATATTCGAAATAAAAAAAAACTCCACCATTGGGCCTATACTTACAAGGGAAGTACGGTACGACAAAGAAATTCGTGAAATCCCCAAAAATCAGTATGAGGACATGTTTGGCACCTCAATAAGTAGCAAGAAAGTGAAAGATCTGGAGAGCTTCTTTATGAGTGATATCCTAACCCCTGACAATATAACTATCAACGCGAACGCTGCAGATTCTGAAAGAGAATTAGTCAACATGTCCATCCACTCAGCCCCGGGGCCAATATAAAATCAATATTTATAAAGAAATTAAAATTGCCAGTCGCACAGGCACTCAGTATAGTGTGGAGGAAGAGATTGGACACGGGGGAGATACCAGATGCGCTTAAAGCAGCAGACATAGCTCTTCTGCACAAGGGAGGGAGCAAAGTATTGGCAAAGAATTATAGACCCGTTGCACTAGCGTCCCACATAATACAAATATTTGAGAGAGTGATCAGGAGTTATATCTCCAGTTTTATGGAGACTAAAGACTTCAAAACCCAGACCAACAAGGATTTAGAGCGGGAAGATAAAGCCATTCTCAGCTACTCGACCACTACGACAAAATCAGAGGCGTTAGAAAAAAACTGAATGCAGATGTGGTATACACAAACTTTGAAATAGCATCTGATAAATGTGATCATGGAGTGATATCCCATGAAATTAGGTCAGCCGCGTCCAACAGCCTGGTTGACCAGTCCAGCAAGGAGTAGGCCTGGTCGAGGAACGGGCCGCGGGGACGCTAAGCCCCGCAATCATCTCAAGGTAACCATCCCCCTCCTCCCAAGACTGACCACTTGTTACCTGTTAGGAATGGTGACAGTGGGTAGCGTCGCTTACTGTTACTAGCCGCGTTGGTAACAGTAAGTAACGGTGGTCACCTTTGTCACCTCTGTTGTGACTTGACGTGTACTTCTCTGTTTCCTTTTGCAGTCTTTATTGTTTTATTTAAATCCATGTGTCGGGGGACAGTCACCCAGTGTGTATGTATGTCTGTTGGGCTTATCGAGGTCCCTACCACGAAGGTCGAACTACTTCCCCCCCCCCCCCCTCCCCAATTAAGGGTGGAACTACTGACCTGCCTCTTCCCAGGACGCAACCATACAACAAGCTGTCTAACTCTGTACCTATTTGATGACAGATGAATCGGGGCGTTGGGAGGGAACGAAATACTCCCCCCCCCCCCACTTCTGCCCAACCTGAGATTCGAACCCGGGATTTCCGATTGGGAGTCAAGAACGTACCCGAGGTATGGCTGGATGGATGGTAGTGACGTCAGCGTTGTTGTTATTGGTGGTGTGGTTGGGTTGGGGTTGGGTGGGGGGAGGGGGGTCATTGGTGTCGACCACACCACACTCACCGTCTGGAGTGTGTGGTGTGGTCGAGGGCTTGAGGGAGGCTGTTCAGAGGTGGCTGTCACGGTGTCCGTGGTCCAAGACCTTTGCTTAGGGAGGTACCCAGAGAATAGGTTCGAATCTTCCTTGTGGATCCTACATATGTTCTCATTTATACACCATGTTAATATGTGATTTCTTTGTGCCGAGGTGGCTTGTGTTTAGCAAAGAAAGTGTTTTTTGGCCTAATGTTGCTCCCATTTACTTCGACCGGTTGATAAAGTGACGACCTTGCTTGTTGCGGGGTCAGTGTTCTATCGATCCCCAGTGGTCCAAGCTGTTGGGCAGCGTTCCTTCACTCGAGCCTCATATCCCAGATTCTTGTCCTCATATGCCTTACCAGTGCTATACAATCGTACCGGCTTAGTGCTCTCACTTGATCTATGGTCCTATTGACGCTACTAGTAGTAGTAGGCATCCATCAGTCTCAGGAGACTATGGAGTTGCACTCTGGTGTCGCCCTGGTCTGGAGTGGTCTCACCAGGGCACAAAGCCACGGTAGGTTGATACGGGGGAGAAGCTGTTACCCAGGCAGCAGGTCCCCCCCTCTCCACGGAGCTGAAAGTCTCCAATGGTAAGGCATACTATTGACGCTACTGATAGTGTGGAATACTGCTTGAGACGTGCGAAGGTTAGATACGAGAGTGTTTGAATAGATATAAATAGGAGTTCCCTTGTACTTGGGGTGGACGATAGAGCGACGGTCTCGCTTCATGCAGGTCGGCGTTCAATCCTCGACCGGCCATGAAGTGGTTGGGCACCATTCCTTCCCTTCGCGTCCCATCCCAAATCCTTATCCTGATCCCTTCTCAGTGCTATGTATAGTCGTAATTGCTTGGCGTTTTTCCCTGAAAATTCCCTTCCCTTCCCTTGTACGGGTCAATAGGTCTTCCGCAGTTTCTTTTTGTTTAAGTTGTATGTAAGTAAGATCTTACCCTCCAGGTAAGATTTCTCATTATTATATCACACTATTAGGATTTCATTGTGTGTTGGGATCTTGCTCTCGTGGCTGGCTGTGTCACTTGGAGAAAGTGGAGATAGAATGTGTTGTTGGTGTAAGTGGTGGTAGTTTCTTTGTTGTTGGGGAGGGAGATGGCGCTTTCGGGGTGGGGTGTGGGGGGGGGGTAGTGTTGAAGGAACGTCGTAGTTATTAGGTGACATGCAGGATGTCACCTCGTACCGCGTCACCCACCATGATCACCGTCGCCATCACCGCAAGACCTGTGTCCATGTGTTGAACACACCACACACTAGAATGTGAAGGGACGACGACGTTTCGACTTGAGAATGGTCCAGGACGGACCGAAACGTCGTCGTCCTCCCCAAGCCCGGCCCTTCTAGTGTGTGGTGTGGTCAACATACTTTAGCCACGTTATTGTGACTCATCGCCCGCATATGGCCATGTGTCTTCTTCTTGAGGTTATCTTGAGATGATTTCGGGGCTTTAGTGTCCCCGCGGCCCGGTCCTCGACCAGGCCTCCACCCCCAGGAAGCAGCCCGTGACAGCTGACTAACACCCAGGTACCTATTTACTGCTAGGTAACAGGGGCATTCAGGGTGAAAGAAACTTTTGCCCATTTGTTTCTGCCTCGTGCGGGAATCGAACCCGCGCCACAGAATTACGAGTCCTGCGCGCTATCCACCAGGCTACGAGGCCCCTTCACTCGTCGTTTTGATCTGTTTTTGGCAGTATCGGTATCACCAAATTTATATCCATTCTCCATGTAAACAAAGTGCACAATTTTAACATCTGGCAGAAAAATGTTAGTTATGGGTATTGAAGTATAGGTTAATAAGACAGTATCGGTGAGAATGTTGGTAGGAGTGACTGAGTGGGTGTACTGTCACATGTACCCTCTTGAGTCTCTACCACCAGTACCCCACAGAGGAGCCTGGGGCCAGATTCACGAAAGCACTTACGAACCTGTACATCTTTTCTCAATCTTTGGCGGCTTTGTTTCCAATTATTAAACAGTTAATGAGCTCCGAAGCACCAGGAGGCTGTTTATAACAATAACAACAGTTGATTTGGCAAGTTTTCATGCTTGTAAACTGTTTAATAAATGTAACCAAAGCCGTCAAAGATTGAGGAAAGATGTACACGTTCGTAAGTGCTTTCGTGAATCTGGCTCCTGGCCCCCAAGCCCGGATACAGGAGGATACAACTCCCCAGCTCATCCATAGAGTGATTCACCCAAGTCCCCTACTGTTAACACCAATGCTGCTTTGTTCCTTGCCCTAGGTATAGGCAACAAAAGAACTGAAAGCCCCCCCCCCAAGTAGTGTTTAGCGGACTGAAGGATTCCTACTGGATGTGCGTTGAAATCTCCCTCGCCGCGCTCTCCCCGAGTGCGAATATTAATTGTATTGTGTATTTTACGTTTTATTCTTCTGGTTTATAAGTGAGATATTCATTTACACGAGGTGTGAAGCTGTCGAATTCTTGAATTTATCCAGAAAAATCGTTTCGATGCACTTGTTGGGGGCGGTGGTTAATTACAGACGTAGGGAGCGTGTTTGTCTGAGTCAGGTGCGGGAGATGGGGGAGGAGGTGGAGGGGGGGGAGGAGGAGGAGGAGGAGGAGGAGGGGGGGAGCAGGAGGAGGAGGAGGAGGAGGAGGGGGACTATTGTTCATTTAGCTACCTGTGGCTGACAGCTCAATGTCGCGGAAGGAAGGAAGGAAGGAGATTGGCGGGGAAGTCGTGAGGGAAGCCGCAGAGGGCGTCCTGTTGTTCCTCTGCATTACTCCCAAGGCGTGTATAAGTGTGTGCACGCGCGTGTGTGTACTCACCTAGTTGTGCTTGCGGGGGTTGAGCTCTGGCGTTTTGGTTCCGCCTCTCAATCGTCAATCAACTGATGTACAGGTTCCTGAGCCTACTGGGCTCTATCATACCTACATTTGAAACTGTGTATGGAGTCAGCCTCCACCACATCACTTCCTAGTGCATTCCATCCATTAACTACTGACACTGAAAAGTTCTTTATAACGTCCCTGTGACTCATTTGGGTACTCGGTTTCCATCTGTGTCCCCTTGTTCGCGTACCACCCTTGTTAAACAGTTTATCTTTATCTACCCTGTCAATTCTTCTGAGAATTTTGTAGGTAGTGATCATGTCTCCCCTTACTCTAGTGTCGTGAAGTGCATTTCTCACAGCCTTTCTTCGTAACTCATGTCTCTTAGTTTGTGGACCAGCCTAGTGGCATATCTCTGAACGTATTCAAGCTACGCCTTGTGCTTGACAAGATACGGGCTCCATGCTGGGGCCGCATACTCCAGGATTGGTCTGACATATGTGGTATACAATGTTCTGAATGATTCCTTACACAGGTTCCTGAAGGCAGTTCTGATGTTAGCCAGCCTCGCATACGCCGCAGATGTTATTCTTTTGATGTGGGCTTCAGGAGAGTGTGTTGGTGTGATATCAACTCCTAGATCTTTCTCTGTTTCATGAAGGACTTCATCTCCCATTCTGTATCCTGTGTCTGGCCTCCTGTTTCTACTGCCTAGTTTCATTACCTTACATTTACTGGGGGTTGAACTTTAGTAGCCATTTGTTGTGTGTACCAGCATATGTGCGTACCCCTATCTCTTGGGACGCACCCCAGCCGTTACCACGTGGTGGAGGAGCATTACATGGGTGGCTTGTAGTAATGAGAGGTGTGTGTGTTTAGGGAGAGTTGTGAGGCAGGCGTGCCAAGTTTGCGGGGGTCATAAAGAGGCCAGCGAGGTGACTGTGGTCAAACGCTTCCCGTCGTGTGCCTGTCTGGCTCGTGGTTGGCTCCTTCCTCTACTTCTCTCCATCATGGTCTACCTTGTGTACCTTCCAGGGATCAACGGCTCCGCGGTCCGGTCTCCCACCAAGCCTCCCTAAATACACCTGAGTTTCCAGCCCGGGAAACGAGTAGAGTCCTTAGTATATCCGACTCTCACATGGTTGGGCCCTTGACATTATCAATGTGTGTATTTACTATTTGTATCTGCATAATCGAGTTATTAGTTCTTGGAACAACTGTACTCACCCACCTAATTGTGCTTGCGGGGGTTGAGCTTTGGCTCTTTGGTCCCGCCTCTCAGCTGTCAATCAACTGGTGTTCAGGTTCCTGAGCCTACTGGGCTCTATCATATCTACATTTGAAACTGTGTATGGAGTCAGCCTCCACCACATCACTGCCTAACTGTGTATGTAGGGGGGGGGGTCTAACAAGAACAGTACCCATCACATCATGACACAGAAGGCAGTTAAAATCTACACGAACAAACACGATCTCGAATTAGACAAACGCATCCCAGTGTCTGGGATGCTCCCGGACGCAGGTTCGAATCCTCGTCACGGCCCTTGTGGATTTGTTCATTTGATACATCACGTTAGTGTGATCTCTGTGTGTGATCCCAATCACCATTGTTAAAACGAATCACACTGCAAGAAATTAGACCTGTGAGAATTGCAGTGATAAACACTGAGGGTCAGAGAGTACTGTTATTAGGCGCTAAACATTTGCTTTAGAACCAACAGCAGTATAGAGCATTAACATTAAGGATATAATATGGATATAATATGAGAGGTAATTCATTGCAAGCAACGAATCAACATGTATGGCATAAAGTATCAGGAGCTTTTTGACTTTAGAGTATTATGAATATATTACGAATATTTCGAGCATTATCGAATATTTGAGGATATTCTCATAGTATATATATGAAGTGTGCTAAATGAGGAACCATCCTGGGAAACTGTTATATCTGGTGACCCCAGGTAGCGGCCGAGCTACACTATGTAACCCGTTATATATAGACTAGGCGAGCAGCACAGTGGTCACACACATCAGCCCCGCTCCTGTGCTGGGTGAGTCAGCTACGGGCTCTCCATAGCCCGTGCTACTTAGAACTTTTTGTTCTCAGTAGCTGAATCTTAAACAACAGAATCTGAATCTGTTTGGAGATTCCAAACAGCTGTGGAATCTCACAAGCACAGTGTTGTTGTAAGATTCCAAGCTTACACAGTATGTAAGCTTGGTAATGATCAACAAAGAGGAGGGGGATGTGTGGGGGGGGGGGAGCACAGGGGTACGAGGGCAGGGAGGTATAGTTTGAGGCAAGGGAGTCTAGCCCCCCACTCACCCTCGGGTGGGTGAGCCGAGGCTCGTCGGATGGTTCCCAGGGGTCAGTGTGTTGGTTGGTCAGGTCTGACTGGCGCCATGTTTCTAAAGCGGCCAAGGGCGCCATCTTTCTTGCTGCTGCTGCTACTCCTATACATGCCCCGCCACCCCCCTGCCCATACCTCCCCTTCCCACCAACATTCTACCACCACCACCACCACGTTTTCCCTATACTCCCTGCTGCCACCGACACTACCTCACCATATAAACCCCAGCCAACACCACCACTAACGGGCTCACCATAGCCCGTGCTACATGGACACTTCGTCCTGAGTAGCTAAATCTGAAACAGCAACCACCACCCACTACATGACACCTCCCCCGTCACCTCCACAGATCTCCAGTATCATCTAATGATACTGGTAATGGCTCAAAAGGGCCACACCACTTACGGGCTATTCATGCCCGTGCCACCTTTTGGGTGGCTTAATCTTCATCAATCACCACTACATGAACCCCTCGCCTCTTTTGTCACCTCCACTACAGCCCTGGCACCTCAGGAGTACGATTGAATGCTTTGTTTAACTTCGATTTTGAGATCGGTGAAGGCTCCAAGTGGACCTTGCATTGTTTTGCTGCAAGTTGATAACGGAGAAGCGGGTTAGTCGTGCCTGTTGGTTCTTCAAGCACGCGATGAATTTCAGATACCTGTACATTGATAACAGGAATTTGACCACGTAGAGGTTGCCGGAACAACCGTGGACATTTTCAAGAGGAAACTAGATTTATTCCTCCAAGGAGTGCCGGACCAACCGGGCTGTGGTGGGCCTGCGGGCCGCTCCAAGCAACAGCCTGGTGGACCAAACTCTCACAAGTCAAGCCTGGCCTCGGGCCGGGCTTGGGGAGTAGAAGAACTCCCAGAACCCCATCAACCAGGTCTCTGTACAGTTTTGGAGTGTTATGCAGGCGATGAGTCACAATCGACTTGAGAATTCTCCAGGGCGGACCGAAACGTCGTCGTCCCTTCACCTTCTAGTGTGTGGTCTGGTGAACATACTTTTGGAGTGTAGTTTGAACTTGCGCATTATTCTTTATCAGTAGCCAGGATAACATGCCCTATACTGTTCACATTTGTGTAGAGTACACATACAACCGCCATCCTGGTATGGGTGGTGTTGAGGTGAAGGCTCGGGTGACCTTGCTGTGTCGCCCACAGACGGAAGCGGGTCCATTTGCCTCAGCTCTTGGGACCCGGTTTCATAACTGTTGATCGGCCATTTTGATAATAGGTGAGTAGCGAGTGAGAGACTGGTCTCGTCTGTCACGTGGCGAGCCATTAGGCAAGTCTCCCAGATGATAGAAACAGTACATCACTGTACACAGATAATGACCGTAACTGTACCATGTACATTTACTGTTGTGTATCTCTGCCAATTTATATTTTGTATATTTTCTATATACAAAATATATTTATGGGTGCCCATGAGAGGGGGAGGGGGGGGGTTGTGAGCATTTGACAATAACAGTTCGTAAGATTGATTTTGATTGAACAGTTCGTAAATGTCTCTCCTTATCTTAGGTCTGTAGTTGTGTAGGATGGTGTGGCCGGGGTGGTGTAGGATGGTGTGGCCGGGGTGGTGTAGGATGGTGTGGCTGGGGTGGTGTAGGATGGTGTGGCCGGGGTGGTGTAGGATGGTGTGGCCGGGGTGGTGTAGGATGGTGTGGCCGGGGTGGTGTAGGATGGTGTGGCCGGGGTGGTGTAGGATGGTGTGGCTGGGTGGTGTAGGATGGTGTGGATGGGGTGGTGTAGGATGGTGTGGCCGGGGTGGTGTAGGATGGTGTGGCTGGGGTGGTGTAGGATGGTGTGGCTGGGGTGGTGTAGGATGGTGTGGCCGGGGTGGTGTAGGATGGTGTGGCCGGGGTGGGTAGGATGGTGTGGCCGGGGTGGTGTAGGATGGTGTGGCCGGGGTGGTGTAGGATGGTGTGGCCGGGGTGGTGTAGGATGGTGTGGCTGGGGTGGTGTAGGATGGTGTGGCCGGGGTGGTGTAGGGTGTGAATGGACTTGTGATGTTCGTGGGTGTGCGTAAAGGCAAGGCACTACTACAGATAAACACCAGAAACATAGGCTTCCCGCGCTCCTGTGTTTTGATTGAGGAAGTTCCTAGTTGAACGGCGGGGAGGTCGGGGAGGGCTGGTGTGTGTAGCGTGCGTGAACGGGTACACTGGGCGATGTCTTACGACGTGTGTAGTCTGGAGTCTGGTCTTGTCAAGGTGGGTGTATGTGGAGTGTGACCGGGGAGTCCACCGGTGACTGAGTAGTCACTCTCACTCACCACACTCACGGTGCGTCCGCCCGTGTTCCTCTTAACTGTTATGATACAAGCCAATGGATTCGGGGGTTAGAGGACACGTGTACGCTCATTTGTTTATCAACACGGGGAGGAGGAGGAGGGGGGGGGGGCAGGGGTGTGAAGGAAGTCAGTGAAGATATGTAATTGTGTGTGAATTGTGTTGAAGGGTTGACGTGGGGTGGTGGTGACCTGGGGTCGTCTTGTGTGTAACTTCTCTGGAGGAAATGTCTTGTAAATTGGTCACTGAATGTCATTGTCTTGCGCTGCTTGGGCAGTAAAAAGGTGGTAAGAGTTTGTCTGAGTGAATGCCATTGTCTTGGCCGGGTTCACCGGAAGAGCATTGTAAGCTGGTCATTGTTTTAAAAGCATTTTGTCACATCAGAATTTGAACATAATTATGGCTATGTGTATTTCCTTGGCAGTTTTTTTTTTGCAGAGTGAAATTAAAAAAAAACTGGTATAGAGGCTGTTGGAATATATGTATATATATTATATATATAGAGGAATATATATAGAGGTATATATATAGAGGAATATATGTATATTATAGACGGGACGGGTAAATACTTACGAATATACTTATATTAGTAGTGTCCGGTGGTGGAAATGTTTACTAACAATACACTACTAAGCGTCGCCTGATTGATGTTCCGAAATCACCTCGAATTGTTCCGCTTTAAATAATTATAATTCGGGTAATTCCTAAAGTATCACTTATTATCTTCACTTCCTCGAATCACGGCTTATCTTTTAAAAGAATCCCTTCCCCGGGAGAGTATGGGAGGAGTGGTAAAGTGCGCACGAGGTAGGGAGGACACGTCTGACTCCCACGGCGGCTGGTGCTCGACTGACAAGCTGTGAGATAGGAGTCAGTGGCGTGGTCCTGGGACGTGCGTAGGTGGTGGGGGTGAACTGATTGTTCCCGGGAGATGCTGAGGGAGGGGTGGGGAAGACCGAAATGAGGGGGAAGGCGTTGGGGAGGTGGTAGCATCTGGGGGGGCGGGGGGGGGGGGGGGGATTGAGAGTGGGGCCCTGGAATGGGGGGAATGGTCGTAGAGGTGGAGATGGGATGGACAGGCCAGAGGGTGATGGTGTGGCGACGGTTGTAAAGGATATGGTGATGGGGATGATAATGGAGAGTTATGGTAAGCAAGAGGAGGATAGTGGATACTTGCCTATTACTGCTTATGTGAGTGACACAGGGTAGTGAGGACTAGCGCTCTGCCCCGCCTACTAGCCTCGCTCTACCTGTTGCGTGGCTATTGAATTATTCTGAATGTGGTGGTTGTCCTTCACGTATCGCCTAACCCTGATCAGTGTTTTCTCAGTTATTTAGATTGTCTCATCTTGTATCCCAGTCTTTCACCAGGAACAATATTAAACGCATTTTGATATTCTAGGAAGTTACAATCCAAGGAAGTTGCAGTCTTCCTAGAATTCTTATTCCTGTCCTATTTGGAAATCTTGTTATAGAACTCGATTAAGCTTGTCAGGCATGACTTTTCCCATTTTAATCCAGGCTGCCCTTGCATCACAGAGTTTGTCCCCTGCCAAGTGCTCCATTACTCTCCTGGTTACTTTCTCCGGCACATTACACGGAGTACTTGTCAGTGGTACGGCTCTGTAAGCTGGTGCCTCTTGTCAGTGGTACGGCTCTGTAAGCGGGTGCCTCTTGTCAGTGGTACGGCTCTGTAAGCGGGTGCCTCTTGTCAGTGGTACGGCTCTGTAAGCTGGTGCCTCTTGTCAGTGGTACGGCTCTGTAAGCTGGTGCCTCGTGTCAGTGGTACGGCTCTGTAAGCTGGTGCCTCGTGTCAGTGGTACGGCTCTGTAAGCTGGTGCCTCTTGTCAGTGGTACGGCTCTGTAAGCTGGTGCCTCTTGTCAGTGGTACGGCTCTGTAAGCTGGTGCCTCGTGTCAGTGGTACGGCTCTGTAAGCGGGTGCCTCTTGTCAGTGGTACGGCTCTGTAAGCTGGTGCCTCGTGTCAGTGGTACGGCTCTGTAAGCTGGTGCCTCTTGTCAGTGGTACGGCTCTGTAAGCTGGTGCCTCGTGTCAGTGGTACGGCTCTGTAAGCTGGTGCCTCTTGTCAGTGGTACGGCTCTGTAAGCTGGTGCCTCTTGTCAGTGGTACGGCTCTGTAAGCTGGTGCCTCTTGTCAGTGGTACGGCTCCGTAAGCTGGTGCCTCGTGTCAGTGGTACGGCTCCGTAAGCTGGTGCCTCTTGTCAGTGGTACGGCTCTGTAAGCTGGTGCCTCTTGTCAGTGGTACGGCTCTGTAAGCTGGTGCCTCTTGTCAGTGGTACGGCTCTGTAAGCTGGTGCCTCTTGTCAGTGGTACGGCTCTGTAAGCTGGTGCCTCTTGTCAGTGGTACGGCTCTGTAAGCTGGTGCCTCTTGTCAGTGGTACGGCTCTGTAAGCTGGTGCCTCTTGTCAGTGGTACGGCTCCGTAAGCTGGTGCCTCTTGTCAGTGGTACGGCTCTGTAAGCTGGTGCCTCTTGTCAGTGGTACGGCTCTGTAAGCTGGTGCCTCTTGTCAGTGGTACGGCTCTGTAAGCTGGTGCCTCCTTTATGGCCGACCTTTTGTGACTATTGGGACTACATTTATCTTTTTCTTAATTTTTGGAAGATCTCCTGTCTTAAGTGTTTTGTTGGAAGTTTTAGTTAGCTGTTGGCACGGTACCTCTACTGCCTCTTTTGGCACGGTACCTCTACTGCCTCCTTTGGCACGGTACCTCTACTGCCTCCTTTGGCACGGTACCTCTACTGCCTCCTTTGGCACGGTACCTCTACTGCCTCCTTTGGCACGGTACCTCTACTGCCTCCTTTGGCACGGTACCTCTACTGCCTCCTTTGGCACGGTACCTCTACTGCCTCCTTTGGCACGGTACCTCTACTGCCTCCTTTGGCAGGCATGGTAATATTATGTCTGGTTCAGGGTTGGGGAACCTGCCGCTTTTTATAATACTCATAGTGACCTATGAAAGCAGTCTAAATTAATGAGACACTTGATATGTAAGTTTGTGTTCGACATGGGTGACTGTATACAGCGCATAATACAATATGCAGCTTTATGAAATGTTCTCTTAAATACAATATGGCCTTCATGTTAGAGAGGGTTCTCCACCCCCTGATCTGATTCTGTTGCTTTTGTTGTGTCTAGTTCTCCCGTGTGTGTTTTTTCCCCGTGTTTAATGTGATATGTTACATAGTATTTGTTCCGTCTCCTTTCGTCTCACGTCCTGTTTCTTTTGTGTGGACCTTGAAATCTCTTTGTTCAGTTTTTTCACACACCACTTTATCAGTTTCTGTGAGACTACTACTACTACTCCCTTGACTCCTTAGCCATATCACATGGTCTCTTCCTGTTGTTTTTTCTACTTAAAGCAGTTTGGATTGATCCCGAACTTTTGCTACTATGTTGTTTTCAAATTATCACCTGATTCGGCTTTACTGATGCCTGGCTCGCTCTTGTACCTTTCTGTTGGCCCCTCTTACTAGCTCTCTACTTTTTCTCACGCTTTTTTTATCTACTTTTCCTTTCCTTTTCCCTGTATTGGCTATTGATCCAGAGGGGTGTAGTTTGTCTTGTCCACCTTTCTTAGTGGGATGAATGGCTCCTTAGTCGTACTTCCTTAGTGCTTTCTGCTTATAATACCTTACCGGTGTGAGGTGACGATGTGTTGTAGGTAATGTAGTGTAGAGGGTTAGGTGATTGTTGTGGCCCGGGTGCTGGGGGTTAGCTGAATCAAAGATGAAATGGGTGGTCCACCAACAGCCTGGTGGACCAAACTCTCACAAGTCGAGCCTGCCCTCGGGCCGGGCTTGGGGAGTAGAAGAACTCCCAGAACCCCATCAAGCAGGGGGGGAGGGAAGTTGGGTGTATGGGGCGCCAGGCAATACGGCGGGGTTGGCGGAGGTCCATATGGTCTATAATCCTGGCTTAACTGTTTTTGTTAATGGCCCTCCGTGGAGGAGGATGTGTAGATGATCACTTGGGGAGGAGAGTGCGCGAGTTACCGGGGTAGGTGATGAGGTAGGCGGTAATTGACCGTGGGAACTTGCCGTGTAGTTGTGCAGGCTGTTAGCTGCCCCCTGGTGTGTCGGGACGCTGATACACCCCTGCCACTCTTCCTCACGGCTTTTGTGTGTACTCACCTAGTTGTGTTTGCGGGGGTTGAGCTCTGGCTCTTTGGTCCCGCCTCTCAACCGTCAATCAACTGTTTACTAACTACTTTTTTTTTTCCACGCCACACACACACACACCCCAGGAAGCAGCCCGTGACAGCTGACTAACTCCCAGGTACCTATTTACTGCTAGGTAACAGGGGCACTTAGGGTGAAAGAAACTTTGCCCATTTGTTTCTGCCTCGTGCGGGAATCGAACCCGCGCCACAGAATTACGAGTCCTGCGCGCTATCCACCAGGCTACGATGGATAGCGAGGCCCCTTAAAAAGGGGCCTCTTTGTGTGTGTGTGTGTGTGTCTGCTATTTGTATTTACTATTTGTAGCTGCAGAATCGACCTATTAGCTCTTGGACCCCGCCTTTCTAATCAATATATTTTTCCTCTATTATGTCTACTACAAATATTTCTTATACACGTGTACACATCCCTAGGAAGCAGTCCGTATCATCTGTTTAACTCAAGGTGAAAAACCGGAATCCAGGGTGAATCAGGGTGAAAGACACTGCCCATTTTTTGTTCCTCGGCCGGGGATGGAATCCGGGCCCTTAGGACTACGACCCCATAGCGATGTCCACTCAGCCGCGAGGCCCCCTAGGGCCTGTGTGTGTGCTGTGGCATGCCATTATTCTCCTGGGCCCTCCCTCCCCCCCCTCTACTAGGCACCAAACCATGCTTCACTCTAGTCACTATTGATATTTGGCACCGCTGGAGAGGGAGGGGGGAGGGGGGGCAGTACTGGGGAGGAGGAGTAAGGTGTGTACACGCCTAGTTGTGCTTGCGGGGGGGGGGGGTTGAACTCTGCTCTTTCGGCCCGCCTCTTAACTGTCAATCAATCAACTGTTACTACTAACTAAATGAAATTCTCCCCCCTCCCCCCCCCCCTCTCTCTCTCTCTCTCTTCCTTTCTCTCTTCCTTTCTCTCTTCCTCCTCCCTCCCCCCGACCACCTGGTGCATGAAGCCAGGACAGTAACAATTGGCGTGATTGAGGTGACGACCACTTGTGGCCTCAGCTCCGTGCGGTAGTTGGCTGGAGAACATACTTGAAATAAGTGTGATCTGACTTATGAAAGTTGCACATTATTGTTAATTTAGCTAATTGCTATTTGATGGATTGTTGTAAGAGAAAGGGATAAATAGGGGCTCAAGATAGGAAAACATGACTTACGGAGAGAGAGAGAGAGAGAGAGAGAGAGAGGAGAGAGAGAGAGAGAGAGAGAGAGAGAGAGAGAGAGAGAGAGAGAGAGAGAGGAGAGAGAGAGAGAGAGAGAGAACGAGAGAGAGAGAAACGAGAGAGAGAGAAACGAGAGAGAGAGAAACGAGAGAGAGAGAAACGAGAGAGAGAGAAACGAGAGAGAGAGAAACGAGAGAGAGAGAAACGAGAGAGAGAACGAGAGAGACTCACGAGAGAGAGAACGCACTCACTCACTCACTCACTCACTCACTCACTCACTCACTCACTCACTCACTCACTCACTCACTCACTCACTCACTCACTCACGCACTCACGCACTCACGCACGCGTCATCATCTCGGCCCACAATGGTCGTCATTATCGGGCGTGCTGGTGTCGAGGGCTCAGTTATCCGACCTTCATACTAATAAAAAGTCGAGCAAAGAGGTCAACCGCAGGCAGCAGCGTTATTACACTCGGGGGGTTTACTGTCTCTCTTGCTTTTTTTGTGTCTGGTTTTAATT